GCCTGAAAAGCGCCGGTTTTTCCTGTTCACACCGCAGCGGCGGCGCGTCATAGCTCCGGAATGCGGTTCACTTCCAGCTCCAAAAAGTTGTCGGTCCAGAGGCAAGAGCTTTGGAGCTATGACGCGGCGTCGCTTACGTCGAGGCGTGCAGGAAACCTTACTTTGACCATCCGTTCGCTGTTATTGATCATTGTGGAGAGCAGGCAGACGTTTTGTTTGTTATTATAACAGCTATCGGATGGAATTAATACATGGGCTGTACAGGTTGTCATGTCCGACTATCACAAGTAGAATCATAATGAAAAATACGCCGGTAAAATATGCCTGTAGAAAACGGCTTAGCAAGTAGTCAGTTTAGCTTCGGTTGCTATGCTAACATCACCCATGTTATACCAGAGAAACTTTCATAACAGCGTTGTGATGCCAAACAGCGTCAATTCAGACTGACACACATTCACTTAAGGGGAACTGGGGATATGTATCAGCTGCTTGTGTGACAGTCAGACAGTGAATACTTTAGAGCCGTGTGAGCTAACCCGGAGCTAACGGGAGAATAAACTCCCGTGGAAGAGCAGCCAGCACTGTAGCGGTCGGTAAATGCCGCTGAAACACATTAATAAACAATGAACCACGGCACTCTGGAGAAAAGTATAAGGTTGGAGAAGTCGTTATTTAATTTAATCTGGCTTCGTATGATTAAAAGCAACACGATCGTCGACCCGACGCAGTCCCCGGCCCGTTGTTGTTGTGGGAGAAAATCTCTCGGCAGCTCTGGGCGGTGTGAACAGAGCGGGAGCTGAAAAGGGAAACCGGAGCTGAACCAGAAAAGCTCTCGCTAGGAGCTAGAAAGGGAAAAGCGCTGGTGTGAAAGCCGCATTAGAGTCATTGAACTGTGACACATCTCTTGATGCTCTGACTGATCATTATCACTGGATTACATATTACATGCATCGCCCCGTTATCAGTGGCGAATGTTGACCAAATGTTCCTCAATGTTGCGGTAAAATAACCTTTTAAAGGTCAAAGGGAAACTTTTAAAATAAGACTTAACAGCTTAAATCATCAGCCCTTTACAACACATGTGTATTCAGCTAAACATAAGAGCTTGAGCTGATTTTATTATCTGGCTTATTTGAGTATGACCTTCAGAAAGTAGATGCACTAAACAATATGCAAACAGTGTGTGACCTGTCCATCATCAAACCGGGGGTCATAAATCATTAGGTGTTCATTTTTATCTGAAGTTGTACCCATGGATGTATAAAGAATAGTTATACCGCAAAGTTATTCTCCGTGGGGACTTCCGGCAACAATCTTGATTCTGATCTGAAGTTTTCAAAACCGTTTATGGTCTCCGGTACTTCCAGTTCAACGCCTACTGCATGCACAGCGTTAGAAAATCGGGCCTTCAAAATAAAAGTTAGACTCCCCCCCGCCAAAAAATAAATTCTGATGATCAAATTTAAGACTTTTAAGACTCTGCAGGAACCGTGCAAATGTTGTGCTTGTGGCTCCGAATTGAAGTGAACTATACAACGGAGAGCAGAAGATGCAGGTGAAGAAAACACTGTTTTAAGAAGTATTTTGATGCAAAGGTTTGTTAATTAGCAGGCATGTAGCACAATATGAAAGTGAAAGCAGAGCTCTTTTTATTTAAAAAAAATAGGAAAATGTTGAATTATGATGACTTTGTGATCTCAATATTGACCAAAATAACCATGATCATTATTTGGGCTATAATCTTGCAGCGGGCACCCAGAGGCAGTTTGAGATCTTAATCCAGCCACAATTTACGAGAATGCAGCACATTACTACTGTCACACATCCTCAGTATAGGTGCACGGCTTTCTAAGAGCTCTGGTCTGAAATGTTTTCACGGTGTAACCACATCAAGAGAGTTGCATATCCTGTTTATCTCGAAAACTACTAGCATCACCTCAGTGGCAGAAAAAAAGGCTGGGCTCACATACATGTTAACACTATATGAATCTGCTTCTCTGTGGAAGAATATTACACCAACTTACATTTTCAGTCATATATCTATATCCCAGTGGCATTAGACAACACCAGGCCCTTCCTGACCTATAACTGCCCACATAAAACGATTAATAGGAATTGCATTGATCTGCACAAGTGCACACATTAAGCATTATAGTTTGTGATTTAATTAACTATAGAAGATTCAGGCAAGATCAAACTACTAGAATATTGTTTTTAGGATACTTCCCCCGTCTGATTTACAGAGTAGCCAATGTTTTTCTTGATCAAAATGTTACCTTCTAACTTAAAATCAACAACAAAACAACTATGCAATGCTTCAGCAGGAGGGAGGTTAATTTACACAACATGTATTATAACATACTGTAAAAGTGCTGCCATGTTTGTTTTCCCTCTGCGTCATTTGAAGCAGGAAAAACAATCAGCATGAAGATCAGACATCAACTCTGTGGATCTGCACATATGGAGCAGAACCTGATCACTATCCACATGAAACTAATCCTATTATAATTGTAATAAATGGCCAAAGTAACATAAAACCTAACAGTGTGTGTTAAGATGCCATAAGGGTTGGTTGCACTGCATTAAAGATCATACTCTGCACAGAATATCATGTGTAAGCAACATATATAAAAGAGACAAATAAATATAAAACCTGGAGCTGTACATGCACCTGAAAGGCTTGATCCTTTGGGAAAAAGTTCCCTGTAATTCCTTCTGTTGCCCAAACCAGTGGGAAGTAAACGCATCTCTCCATTCACAAAGACTGATCAACACTTAAAGAGTAGATGATCCACTGCAATGCACACACAGGAAACCAAAGCATTTCCTGTGTGTGTATATATAATAACCGAGTGAAACAGTTTGCATCAACATCGGGGTCAACAGGTTTGAATTCAGTGACAAGCAGCCAGATCTTCAATTGATGCACTCTTGTGTTCTTACAATGTGAGCCACTTCACATTAGACGGCCCCTTAAAAAGATAGGAAATCATCACTTCCTAATAAAATGCAGTGTAAAAAATGCAAACAATTCTCTAAATATTCCCGTTTTCTAGGTGAATTGCAACAAAGCAGCAGTGGTGGATTAGCAATGGGCCCGAAGGTGCAGGGGGGCAATAAGACATAGCCTAGTGAAGTTGATGTTATTTACTTTGCTTCTTTTAGCATAGTCAAAGGGCTTCGTCATTCATGTCAATAACAGAGCCCCAAAAACTCACCGTTAAGTTAAAGGTAGGGTAGGTAAGAATGGAGAAACCAGCTCGAGTGCGCTAGAATTTGAAAATACGCAGCCGAAAAAAATCTGCCCCTTCCTTCAGACTTCCTTACAGAGCCCCTCCTCCAACACACACGGACGTGCACATGACCAGTGAGGGCACGAGATAAGTTTGTGCACGAGATGGAAGGCTGACAGGCAGGTAGGCCATCCAGTTATTTTAGCCGGGCCGGCTCAGGGGCCTCATTTATAAAAGGGATATACGCTCAAAAAATGGCGTACGCCAGTTTCTACGCAATGTTTGCGATTTATAAAATACTAACTTGACGGGAAAATGTGCGGTCCTCCACGCAAACTCTAACCCATTAAGCACAACAACGGGAGAGACGAGAAACTGCGACACCGTTGGCAGAAGGAAGAATGGAGAGAAATATGTGGACATAATACCATAAATAAAATGTTACCTCTCATTTATCAAATATGAGGAATTCATTTTCAAACATTGATTAAAGCCAATCTTAAAATGATTAAACAAACGCCTGTTTGAGACTCCTCAGACAGTGCACACAAAAACATAACTTGGAGAAATAAATAAATACGAATATGTTATTTAAAACCACCTCGAATATGTTGTGTTAATGTTATGAAATGTTTTCTCATAAATGATTCGGTAAACAGGAGAACAGAATTACGTCTAAACTGACGCCGTTTTGCATTTCTATAGGTTGTAGATACGAGCATGGTTTTATATACTATCACGTTTAATCGTGTTTTATGCCGTTTGCCAAGACTTGATAAGTCGCTCGTAAAACACAGGAGGTATGGAAACTAAGAACACCATATGTGGTAAATTGTACAGCTAATATAACACAACACATTGTATTTCCTTTAACTGGTGGATTATGGATATATAGTTGCTGATCGACAGCTGGAACACAAACCACCAAATACAACAAAATAATTCAGATCCAGTCGTCATGACTCCACTCCGGAGGGATTCCCCGATCATTTCTTAGAGTTTCTCATCAAGGGGGTGTCTCCTGTCCCCGGGACAAACACACTGCATGAGGAAGGTTATGTGTATTTTTTTTGTCATCAACTTTTTTCTTTTTCGGACCACTTATTTATTTTGGTGACGATCCGACCTCCATGCTACTCTGGTTCAAACTGCTTCCACCAAACAATATGATTTATCTCAACCTCCCCAAAATAACCAAAATCTGACACGGTGTGAGATGTCTTTTTTTAGCTGTTCGGTCGTAATTTCCTGCGATCTTCTTCATGCAGTCAGTCAAAATGAATGAATGAATGGGCGTTTCTTTGACTATTCATAGGCAAATATGGGCGTTACAAGTCGATGGTGATTTATAAAGGGAAACAGGCGTAGGAAGTGCCGTACGCACTTCCCTCGCTGGTACGCAATGTTTTGTGAATCGGAAAATGTCGGAACATTTCTGTACCTATTTTTTTGCTTTGTACTACGTAAGCAAGCTTCCCACGTCAATCCTACGCAAGGCGTTATAAATGAGGCCCCAGATGATTGGTCGTGGTCGTGCTTTTTACAGCGCCACGGCTTCCACAGATGACATTTTGTTATGTATTTATTGTCAAAGCATTTAATGTATTCATTGCTGTCGGGATGTTAAGAGCATTCCATGGAATATAACAAAAAGTGTTTCTGAAGTGAATTACCTACCCCACCTTTAATGTTTGGAGATATAGAGAAACAAGTGTTTTTTGGTAATGTAAGTGTTCCTGCTAAATTAACACGTGCCAAACACCAACATTTGAGCTATGGTTTGGTTTTATTTAGTTGTTCCATCATTGAGCATTAGCCATGGCTCACTGAGGCACACATACTGTTCAGCAGGGATACAGAAAGTAATGATCACATACTGTATTGAACATGCTCATTTCCAACACATTGGCAAAATGTTATTTTTAAACAGTAAAACAATGTAAGTCACTCATCACCATGCACATAAGGAAGCAAAACTATTTCCCAGATAAAAAGCTCTTCATATGCCGAAGTTATCACTCGCAGACACCTTGACCGGCCAGGCACCGAAGCCTTGCTGCAGCAGGTACGCCTTCAGCACGTTCTTCGCCTCCTGGTACGCCTTGGCCATCCTCTGCAGTGACATAACACAAGTATAAAAAAAAAAATTCTGCAGAACACTTCTCTCAAAACATATAACACAAAATCCATTCCAAATATCAATTTATAGTTAAAGGTAGGGTAGGTAAGAATGGAGAAACCAGCTCGAGTGCGCTAGAATTTGAAAGTACACAACCGGAAAAAATCTGCCCCTTCCTTCAGACTTCCTTACAGAGCCCCTCCTCCAACACACACATGACCAATGAGGGCACGAGATAAGTTTGTGCACAGATGGAAGGCTGACAGGCAGGTAGGCCATCCAGTTATTTTAGCCGGACCGGCTCAGATGATTGGTCGTGCTTTTTACAGCGCCACGGCTTCCACAGATTACATTTATTTATGTATTTATTGTCAAAGCATTTAATATATTCATTGCTATCGGGATGTTAAGAGCATTCCATGGAATATAACAAAAAGTGTTTCTGAAGTGAATTACCTACCCCACCTTTAAGCCATGCAAGTGTGTGGATTCATCTGAACATATGCCGTCTGCTTTCCATACAAAATATAGTTAAAGACAGGAGTTATCCTGTCTTTAACTACTGTAGCAACATTATGCTTTTTGGGGTTTTCCCCTTTCCTATAGTCGGATATGTAGGATTGTGTGCATGTAAATAGTCTGCAAAGGATATAATCCGAAAGTTCCCACCAGAGGGAGTTATCTCCCACACACTCCCCACCTGCCTGAAACTCCTCCATTGGACTCCTTTGATTACTTCTTCCGTAACATAATGTGGTTATGTTACTCTAAGCGGTTGACCAATCACAACAGAGCCGGCCAGCTAACTAATCAGAGCAGACTAGGCTCTGGTTTCAGACAGAGGGTGAAAAGAGCAGGCAGTATGAGAAAAATAAAGAGCTTTTTGAACATTAGAGCATGGAGACATGTCCCAGGAGAGACACTACATACTGATATGAACCTGAACATCAGCAGGAGAGGACTCTTTAAAGTAGAGACACTCCATACTGATATACACCTGAACATCAGCAGGAGAGGACTCTTTAAAGTAGAGACACTACATACTGATATACACCTGAACATCAGCAGGAGAGGACTCTTTAAAGTAGAGACACTACATACTGATATACACATGAACATCAGCAGGAGAGGACTCTTTAAAGTAGAGACACTACATACTGATATACACTTGAACATCAGCAGGAGAGGACTCTTTAAAGTAGAGACACTACATACTGATATACACCTGAACATCAGCAGGAGAGGACTCTTTAAAGTAGAGACATTACATACTGATATACACCTGAACATCAGCAGGAGAGGACTCTTTAAAGTAGAGACACTACATACTGATATACACCTGAACATCAGCAGGAGAGGACTCTTTAAAGTAGAGACACTACATACTGATATACACCTGAAGATCAGCAGGAGAGGACTCTTTAAAGTAGAGACACTACATACTGATATACACCTGAACATCAGCAGGAGAGGACTCTTTAAAGTAGAGACACTACATACTGATATACACTTGAACATCAGCAGGAGAGGACTCTTTAAAGTAGAGACACTACATACTGATATACACCTGAACATCAGCAGGAGAGGACTCTTTAAAGTAGAGACATTACATACTGATATACACCTGAACATCAGCAGGAGAGGACTCTTTAAAGTAGAGACACTACATACTTATACACCTGAACATCAGCAGGAGAGGACTCTTTAAAGTAGAGACACTACATACTGATATACACCTGAAGATCAGCAGGAGAGGACTCTTTAAAGTAGAGACACTACATACTGATATACACCTGAACATCAGCAGAATAGGTCTTCTTTAATGCTATAATACAATTGTGACTTTGAAAAAAGTTTGACTAAAAAAAAAGAAGACTCCAACTCTGCGCGTGCTTTGACGCGTCAGTAGGAAAACCCGTCGCACACACGCACTTATTTTATTCGTTCTCAGCCTTTGAATCTGAAACCATTTGAGTGTTACCTTGGCCTTGCTGTAGGAGCTCGTTGCCAGCAGCTCCGGCCTCTGGGCCTCTTTGGCCACCAACTTGAAGCGGTGCAACATCGCCGCTTTGCACAGGCGGCTTGCAAGAGCAGTGCCACTCTTGAAGGGAGACCTACGACAAGATAATCCATGTAAAGTAAAACATTCGATGTAATCACAGACAAAGCTTTCACATAGTGGAATCAGAAAGTAGATCCCTACACAGCTCATAGACAAGGGGACTTTTCAAACTGAGGAACACTCACAAGATTTCCAGGCTGCATTGCTTCAAATTACAAAATAAATAATATCACCCAGTTATCTGGTTCATTACACTGACAGTAAGCTCTGACGTGACATTTTATATTAAATAATTGCAATCCAATCTAAAAGTTTTTAGCACAGAAAACCCCATCAAACCTAACCCCTTTGTGAGCAAATATGACTGACAGAATAGCTTCATGCACATTTTTGTCACCACATTTGACACCCAACTGTCAATATCTTATCAAGTGATCCTTACTCCTCTATGGTCTTGCCCTCCAGGCCATCCACCACCTCCAGGGAGCTGTCTCCTTCGCTCCAGTTGATACCGTAGGTGAACTTCCCTCCGTCGGTGCTGTTGGTGGCCACAGACGGCACCAGGCTGATGTGGGGTCTCATCATGCAGTAGAACATGGGCAGCAGGGAGGTGACCCCCTCCACACGCTGGCTAACAGAGATCTTCATGCCACGGATATCAGTGCAGCAAGTGTCACCTATAAGAGTTATGATTTTAAAAGTCAATATATTTAAGCAAATACACATGTTAAAGGTCACCTATTATGCAAAACCCTCTTCTTCATGTCTCCTCTACATCAACATGCGACCCCTCTTCTTCATGTCTCTTCTACATCAACATGTGTCCCCTCTGTGTAAAGAGATTCTGAAAGTTTCAGGAACAAAGATTCTCTCTCTTTTTGTCCTGATCCATTTATATAAAAACCTGTCTGAAAATGAGCTGATCAGATTTTGGCCACTTGATGTCATAACGATGTTTTGGCTTGTGTAACCATTAGCCAATCAGCAACCAAGGTAACCCCCCCCCCCCCCCCCCCCTTATCACCTGAATCTCCTCCTAGAGCACCATTGTGTTCTTTTTAACCAAATATCTCTCAGAGGGGCGTGGGGAGGGGCTCCTTATTTTCATCTAAAGTAACAGACAGAGAATCAGCACTTTTGAAACAGGGCTGAAACAGAGGGGATTATGGGTAATGCTGCAATGATCTGTTTGGTGTTTCGAGCCAAACACTTCAGAGACATGTTTGTATCTGAGACCTATAATATATTGATGAAAAACAGTATAATAGGGGACCTTTAAGTCAAACTTCACCCCCTTTCTACAACTTGAGAATGTTGTATTATTGAACTCAATCAATCCTTATTCTATCAAAGTGTTAAATAAGAAGATGGGTATTATTTTGGTGTCTGCATTTCAGATGATTGTGGGTTTAAAAAAAGGTTACTCAGGGGGCCAGAGGTGTGATTAATGAAGATAGTCAGGAAATGAAATGTAGGTGTGTGTGTGTGTGATGATGTAATGGTGTCACCTATCAGTGATGATGAATTGAATTTATCATGTAGGTGTTTTTTGCATATTCACACAGCCATTACAACTATCCTGGAGTTTCCATCTGTTATTAAATGTGGGTCATATAAACATTACAACTATACAAAGAGGAGAGGAGTGCCATGGAAGATATTATCTAACAATATTGACTCTTTGTAAACTTGAGTAGGTTATTTGTACACCTGTTCTTTTGTGCTTGGTCAAACAGAGGACTTAAAAGATGGGGAATGTGTTTGCAGTCTGAATATTACATGTTACGCTTTTATCCAAAGCGACTTACATACTCAATACTGTGGACAATCCCCACAGGAGCAATTGTGGGTGAAGTGTCTTGCCCAGGGACACAACGACATGCTGACTGCAGTGGGGTACGAACTTGCTATCCCCTGATTTGAAGTCCAGCACACTACCCACTGAGCCACAGCCTTCCCCATATAATAGAATATAGACTGCATGAATTGTTACATACTGTTAGGGCCTATTATTAGATCAACGGTTTACTTGAGAAAATGCAGGGCTCTATGTCACTATGGAGAAGTATGTACTCTACGCTACTTTCAAATACTTTGTAAGGCATTATAAGTTCCATACTTCTTTTACAGTAAAAGCTTTTCACATTTAGATTTCGTTTATTGGGACATTTTAAGGTTTTATGCAATAGGGTAGCTGTCTTTGCTGGTTGTGGGAAAACCACTAAAAGATCACGACTTGCCTATAAGGATGCTTTGCACATAGACGGGCTCAATGAAGTGGCTGAGCAGGGCTCCCTGGTATCCTAGCACCTGCCACTGAGTGAGCTTGTCTGTGGTGGACATGCTAACCACTTTGGAGCCAGAGTGATCAAAATCTGACGCGAAAACAGAGAACACCTGAAAAAAAAAAAGTTTTGTAGTCAACAGTTGCATTTCCATTTTATATTATAAGCCCATGACGCATTTAGCAATATACAACTTCACTTTTGTTGCATTTATTATAAAAGAAAGTCCTTGTGGATGGAAAATGTAAAAGTTGATCACCTTCCCCTCCACTGACAGGTGTAGGCTGATCTCGTTGTTGACTTGCCACGCCGAAATAGAGAGTGGGTTCAGACGCCTGGGAACAGAGCACAGAGCTGAGGAAGAGCACTGGATAACATTTTATTTAAAAAACAACTCAAAATACTTTGCTTTTTTAACCTATTGAAGCTTTTTATTTAGGCTGTTAAGACAAACCGGCTAATAAACACAGCCACATTTAGATTGAGTGGAAAACGACTTCCAATAATGTACCCCTTACTTGCAACCTTGATTCTATAACATCACTTAGTTTAAAGTACCTATTGAGAAACCGCAGTGAGCACCTCAAACAAACAGACCTAAAAGAACCAGAAGTGACAGAGCCGACTTTTGCATCGCCTCACACATTGCCTTCGTCTTAGACAAACAGTCTCAACATTGCCTTTCAGCAGGGCCAAAAGATCAAACACTCACAGTAGGGCTGAACGATTAATCAATTTTAAATCGAAATTTGAAATGATGCAATTATCAAATCGCAAAGCCTGTGATTTTTTTTGTATTTTATTTGTACTTCTTCTTGTGTGTCAGTCATCCACACCAATCAGAAGTGCTGTGCTCCACATGTACCAGCCATTGTTAACCAATCAGAAGTGGCCCATGATAGAAGGTGATTGACAGATTGATCCAATCACCTGCCAAGTATTTTTGAAAGTGCCTGCCCTTTTCCAAATGGCTTCCAATGGAGCTTTCCTAGATGGTTTGGTGAAACAAACCATCTGAGTCAGGTTAGTAATGCTCCATCACATGTTTTACATCTATTACAGGGTGAATCTTAAACTGAAGCTTGACTTTAAAGCAACCCAGCGGAAGTTTCATGTAAGTTTAGTTCTTTCACTCGTAGCTCGGGCTGCGGGGGGGCTAGAGACGGGAGCACGTTGATACGACCTTCCTAGCCGGAGATATGGCCGCATTTTACAATAAACTTCCGTTGGGTCGCTTAAAAACAAATATCGCAAATCGAATCGCAATATCTGTCAGAAAAATCCCAATTAGATTATTTCCCCAAATCGTGCAGCCCTAACTCACAGTTGGGACGGGATCCGAGCGGCTCCCTTTGGCAGCTGGTTCACGTAGAGGTGGAGGCTGATGCCGCTCTTCAGGGTGAGGAGGCCACTGCTGCTGCTCCGCTGGAAGATCGACTTCTCCGTCAGATTGGCCGTTTTGCTGAAGAACATCAGCAGGTGCCGGTACAGAAACCTGTCAGCACAACATTAGATTAGAGCAACATCGGAGAAATGTGAAGTGAAAGTGTCAAGGGCTGAAGACCTTCATTGCTAAAAAGAAAAAGGGTTCACTGTGTGTTCCCACATAAATAATCAGTTACAATAATCTGTACTGTAGCTAAAGAGGTGTCAACTGAATGTGAGCCATTCCCAAAACAGCAAAATTCATACATTGTTAAAAAAGGAATATTCCCAGAACTTTAATTTTAAACACAATAGGCGCTTTCACACCGCAGTACTTTTCCCACAAAGGTTAATCAGAACTTAGTTCAGATCGCGTTCACACCGGAATAAGTCCCTGAGGGAGGATTAGTCAAATGAAGCCGCTGACGTCACTTCTTCTGCTTTGGGTTTACTGGCAGGCCGCAAACAACTTCACGGCATATACTGCCGCCCAAAGTCCCCGGAGTTGGGGACTGGCTTCAGTTTTCTTTTGTGTTGCCATAAGTTAGATAATAAAATGGCGGCTTCACAAAACCTTTTGGGAGTTTTACGGGGCGTGGTTTGCATTCCGCCCAGCCAATCAGACATAGGAACCTTTTTCTCCCACGAAAGTACCTGCTCTCTAGCAGGGACGGAAAACTGACGGAAAAGGGGGTAAAACGGTTCTCATGAACTCATTTTAGTTCCGGCTCATTTTGGTGTGAACGCGACATTTCGGAACTATATCGGAACTAAAGTGGGAAAAGTACTGCGGTGTGAACGCGCCTATTGTACTCAACCAAAGCATTACAAATAAACCAACATGTTTCCCTATTAACACATCAGTGATGTGACACCAGTGCGTAATAATGACATGCTAAATGTTGGTAAGTAGATACATCAATCTGTACAGGCGTTCAAATGATTGCATATTTAGTACAATAATATAAGTGGTAATAAGTCGTGGGAAATATTAGGCATCTTTAAACCTGTTGGAATTCAATTTTTTTTTTTTTATAGCGAGCAAAACTATAGATGATAATTTAAATAACACTAATATAATGTCTCTACTGACAGCACCACATCTTCAGATGACATCATGTATGATATAGTATATGACACACTTACTAACCACACTGGAAAATTAGGTATTCAACAAATGAGTGTTCTGTGTGACACATTTTACAACCTTCAGTATTTCAAGGGGTTTAACCTGAATTGTTTTAGTCATTCATGAGAGTTGAAATTGTTTGGTTCAGTGGTTGATTAGATCAAGATATTGTATATAAAGTAAAATAATCTCCTGTAATCAAAGACTTGCATCATAGGAAATCCTTTCTTGCGTATGACATGACCCAAACCACATAATGCACACACAGGCTCATGGTTGTATCTTACCTCATAAGAGATCTCCTTGCAGTAACCACTGCATGTGAATCATGCACAACACGTCCATTCAACGAGGTACTCTCTCTGGTATTAAAGTTTCCAGTGCCTAGAGCGACCACATCATATCCGCCGGCTAAAGAGGGAGAGGAATTTTGCAAAAAAGATGAATGCATACATGTGTGAGATTTATATTCTGAACAGAGCTAATGGAGCTATACAAACATCATTACTTCTAATTAGCAGGTCTGTAGTATTAGATTTAGTACACATAAGACCGTTGTCAAAGTACCATGAGCAAATAAATGCAATAAATACTGTTTTTGTGAAGATTATAAAAATATCAATTTTCTTGAGGAACAGTGTAAGAAAGTTTTTAAGGTCGTCTTTACACTGTTCACAGCAATGAAAATTAAAACAGCTCTTATTGTTTCCAATATTATGGTTCATTCACACATTTAAAATACATTTTTGATTTAACTGTGCGTTTGTGAGAGGTCCCTTACAAGTCTGCATGATGAACGCTGCTGTGGTGCCAGCGCAGGCAGTGAACTCTGGGTGGCTGTTCATCAGTTTAGTGAGCTGATCCTTGACAGCGTTGGGAATCCGATGGTTTACAGGAGTTGTTCTTTCTGAACAGCAAGAAATATAAGACACCACGTATACAAAAGTTAGATAGAAATGTGCATATCTACTGTAGCTTACAGTTTTAGCAGTATTCAATGCATTTCCCCTTTTTGCTTCAAAAAGCATGTATTTAAAAATGTCAAGATTCATATTTGTTTTTGTTTCTTTGGCAATACTACAGAACAAAGCTTTTTAAAATGAAATAAAACGGGGATTTTGAGTGCTAACTTTTAACTTTATCGAACACAATCATTCTAAAAAATACAGCCAGACTAACCAACACGTTTTTCAGGCCAAACAGTAGAGGTGTTCTTCAACAGACGCAAGTCACCTGACCTCCATACCAACAGGTTAGAACCATGGATGTATAATAAGAACTGGATACAACGTGGGAGGCGGGGTCTCGTTCTTTCCTATGAGAGCTGCTCATTGGAGCAACGTCACAGATTACCCATCATGCCTAGCTGTCAGAGCAGAAGAACCCGTATGTGCGCTCACAGAGCATGCGCCCCTTAAGCCCCGCCCCCCGAGCTCCCACTCTCGGCTCAGTAGAATGAATGGACGGTTTTTAGTGCATTTTACAACTTTAAGGACCGACTGATTCTAATAAGGGCTATAAAATAGTTCATACTGGGTAGTTTATTTAGTTTAAAAAAAAGTATCCGCTGATTTACAGACGTCTCTTTCCCAATGTTAGTCAATGAGGAAAAGTATTTCTGGGCCCAGTGACGTCACGGACTGATACGGAAATTGTAGTACCGCCGTTTGGACACAACCCCTCAAATTAAACTTCAATATTTCATTTAAGAGAGATCAACATCATGCCACTGTCCTAATATTTGCCATCCCGTCGAATAGAATCCAGAATTACAGTACCATGATCGGCTTTACAAGGATAAAGGTCAGAGATGGAGGGCTTCTCTTTTACTGGCAGTGGTGGACGGACACCTAAGAAAAACAAACAGGCATGGGAATGAATGAAGATGAGATCTGTTACTACACTTTGGCATTCCTGGAACTGTATGCTACAGAAATACTTTGTTAGATCAGTATTAAACATTTACCTGCTGCTTCGGGGAAGTCAGACTTCAAACAATCCAAGGTGGGCAGCAGGTCCGGCAGAGCGAGCTGTGCCGCTTTCAGCCGAGCCTCCTTCTTTGTTATTCCAACACCAGTCCTGTACTCAAACCCATCAATCACCACGCAAAAGGCAAAATAAAGCCCTGGTAAATTGCCTGAGAAACAACAGAAGAATGGATTGGAGAGAAGTCCTCTAGCTGTCTTTTACAAAAGAAACTAGTAAGCAGTCAGATTTGGGAATCATGGGAAGATCTGAGCTAGAGCCATACAACCAGATTAAAATTTGAACCTAGGCAATATATGAAGTTTGCTTTGTCATTGTATGTTGTATAATCAAACAAAAGGCTTTCATTGACAATAATAAAACAATTCATCCCACAGGCCATAAGAATGTTAAACACCTGCATTTTTTAAAGAACATACATAACATTCATCTGTTTGCAACTCACATATATCATATATATCAATATTCCAAATACTGTATAGACTATTCTGCACAGTTTCTATCATATTCTGTTTCTATTATATTTTATTGAACTATTTTATCTGTTTTATTGTGTTGCACTGTTGGAGGAGCCTGTGACCTAAGATTGTCATTGTCATGAGAACACTGTAGCTATGCACACATGACAATAAAAGCCTTGAAACAAGTGGTCTCTGAAGTCTCACAAACATGTCGAGTGGTGTATTTGTACCTGGAGTCACTGTCTCCTTCATCTCCAAGTGGAACTGCAAAACCTGGGCAAGCTGATGGATCAAAGAGATGGCGTTTGTCTCACCTTGCTTGTATATTTCAATCAGTTCTTTAGGTGAAGCTGTTGGTTTGGCATAACCTTTGTTGGTGAAATAAGAACAGGGCAGAAAGAGCAGATTAAAATTCTACAGTACAGATGTGTTCATTTTGATACAACCGATGGGTCAAAGATGTTGCTACAGTCATTAAGGTTACAAGCAAATTAGATTCTTATACTCACCATTTTTATACGAACCCTTCCCTTGTTTGTAAGAAGTATCTTTGCGTGGTTGATTTGACATTGCGTGCATGGTTCCTAAAAAGGGTTCAAGAGCGTCCAATTACTGAACAAAGGTGGAAGAAGTACTCAGAACTTGTACTTAAATGAAAGTAGAAATACCAACGTGTAGGAATACTTTGTTACAAGTCAAAGTCCTGTATTCAAAAGGTTACTCAAGTTAAAGTGCAAGTATTACGTTAGCCAGGGGGACTTGCTATGATGTCCATTAAGCTAACACTCAACACGTTAAACTTTAATTTACAGTTCCTTTAACTCTATCTACGGTTATAATTCACCGTTAAAAGTAAGACATTGTGTCACATTAACATATCTTTCAAGTTTGTTAGCGGGGTTAAAAACTAAATAAATAAAAAGAAACACATGCTACTTGACCTCGTGCAGTAGTTAAGCTAACTGTCGAAATGAAACCTCTCCACCGCGAATTTGCGGCGAACTCTCACTATAACGCTTATGTTTGAGGTTAAAAGACAAACAGAAACATATCCTTTTTTCCCCATCCGTTTGAATTATGTTTTAAACGGATTAAAAGTGTCCTCTCACCGTTGACGTGAAGCTCGATACCTGCTGCGTGGCGTTTAGAGACGTGCGTGCAGAGATCCTTTGCTAAAATGATGACCTACGCGGTTTGGAAAATTGACGACGCTGTTTTTATTCGAATTTTGTCTCAGTGTTGCAGGTCGAAACTACAGGTTCAGGTTGCACCTTTATATATACAGTCTATGGGTTGCACGCATTATACTGTTTACAAATGTTGCACGTTGATCTCTCTCCAGAAGTCCTTCGTTGTTGCAAAAGCTTTAAAGCCATTTATTCGGGACTTTGCAACTTTTAGATGGAGCCAATGCATGGATTAGGCCAAGTAGTGTTTTTGGTGATCCACTGAGTTTTCATCCAGAACCGTGAAGGTGCTTTTGTGGTTTAAGTAAGGTTTGTTAGATGTTTGGTAAAAACATTGATAACCCTCTCTGGATGAATTGCAGTGCTGGAAAGTAACTAAGTACTGTACTTAAGTAGATTACACTGTTGAGGTACTCGAGTATTTCAATGTTCTAGGCCTCTTTACAGCCTATTTCTAGTCGCACAATTTGGAGGGAAATATTGTACTTTTTGCTCCACTTCATTAATATATTAATTTAGGTTACTAGTTAGCCTTCTTTGCTGATTCAGATTCTTAATAAAAATGAATTAAGAATAGAATAGAATTTAGCAAACTACAGCAGATTCTCAGCAAAGAGCGTTTTTTAGTTTACTGCCAGATTAAGCACTTGTAAATGCATTGCCAATGGAGGAGGACATTTATAACAGCAGCATTTTAGACCTGCAGATGTAGACATCTTGATGTCAGCAACTATATTGAGAAGATAGGGCAGAAGTAAAACCATTGTAACAAACTACGTTTTTGGAGTACACTGAAATGTGCTTAATTTCCTTTGTTCTCTCGAAATCTGTAGGCCTATGTTTTTTAGACTGCAACATTCAGGGCACCTTTAAGGCCCAAGATATGTGCGTTAGGTTTTGCTCCGATGGAACTCAGTGTAAGTTATGAAACATTGAAGTGGGAGGTAAACAGAAAGGGGCTTCCTTTCTCACCTCCCCCCCGCTGCTGACACGTTGACAGTTGTGGTATGGCGGTACACAGGGGCAGCTTCCTCCTCTTAGACATAACCTACATTCACAGTCACACTACTATTTATGAATATCTGCAGACGTGCATGCAACCTCAGTGTGTCAGCATGAACTCATGTCTTGTCCCCTGAGGGGTTTTTACACGCTTTTTTAATTTATGCAAAAGGACAAATGACAAATGCAAAATGACCAGGCAGGTAGTATTTACACAATAGCAACAACAGACACTGTATCCAGCTGATCATAATAGTATTTTTGCTTTGATAGCTTTGTTACTTAGATTACGTTTAAACATTGGAGTAAACTAAAGAAATTAAAACTACCTTAAATTAACTATGACTATAATATGTTATGATTTGTGTGTGTGTATACTGTTATACAAAAATATAGTTAAGAAACTTAATATGTACCCTATATGTTTAATTTGGGCAATTTCTGTGCAATATCTGGTGTTCTTGTAATTAACATTAAAGGGCCCATGTCATGCTTTTCCGGTTATTACCCGTCCCCTTAAAACCCTCAAAGTACACCCTGTAGGGAGTAAAACTCTAACACAGTCTATGCTGCCCCAGAACGCCTCGTTGGAGATTTCTCATTTTCCATTGTTTACTTCCTGGGTACTGTGACGTGTGAATACCCAGAAGCCACACCCTCTACCAGCATTTCACGAAACAAAGCTTCACAAACCTTTCAGCGATTCATGCCGGATATGTACAGCGTAGGACACTGAAGAACGATGCTGTTCCTACTTTGTTTGGACCAGCGGGAGATTCGGGTACACAACCTGTAAGTATTCATTGTTGTTTGTGTATTTATGATGTTTAAAACAAACAAGGTATCTACCACGACTGTTTAAATGGGTAAACGTTTTTCGGGCTGCTGAGTTGGGATCGCGGAGAAATGCTCTCCGCAGACCCATTCTCACAGCGTTATAAACCTTTTTCTTACTCAATATCAAGCCACACTTATTGTTTTTACTTCGGCTGTGAGTGTTTGTGTGTGCTCAGGATGAGTTTCGCTTGTTCTCGCTGTATCGCCGACCCGGAAGCCTTTCCGCTCCTCGCAGCAGATCGCAGCAACGAGCCTCGCAACGTCCCGACCAATCAGAGCACACTGGGCTCACAGGGAGGGGGGGGGGGGGGCAGGAGCTCCAACAAGCCGTTTAGGACCGAGAGTGAATACCGGTGAATACACATACTATACAGAGATGCTGTATGAGAAACCAATGTGAGTTTGGAAAATTGCACAGTATAAATCTATTTTAGTATACCTCAACAATGGAATTATGATCAGTAGAAATGGCCATGACATGGGACCTTTAAAGATGTAATCTGGCACCGCCACAAAACACAATGATATCATGTATGAGCTGTCATTGTGTCCCTTCAAATGTGGTTCCTTCTCAGTCATGATTTCCTCATTTATGTGTCATTTATTTCACCGTCATATGCTGGCGAGGGCAAATGTGGGGGTGGGACAGTTTCTTTTCTCGTTTCTGCCTGCAGGGACAATGGAAAGGGGTCACCTGAGTTACCACATGTTATATATTTGGGATATCATTTGCATAATTTAGAGCTGAAGGAAAACTTTTGCATACCCAAGATTGTATAATGTTGACATGTTGCCAATAAAAGAGTTTTTGGAGTGGAGTATTTCTGGCAACTTGACAGTGATAACAAGACTTCAGAAAGTTACATATACTGTCCCCCTGTTTCCTGTTTTTATGCTAAGCTAAGCTAACCAATTGCTGTTGGCTCTACCTTCATATTTAGCCTACTGTGTAAGATGTGAGGAGTATTGATCCTTTTATCCAACTGGAGATAGGTTCTGTAGAAAGCGAATAAACAAATGAATGAACAAAGTATAATAAAACTAAAATGTCCCAAATTGGGATCAATAAAGTACTATCTTATCTTATCTTATCTTAAATTGGTTGATGTAGGGCCACTGCACACATGGATGACCAGGGGGAAAATATGTAAATAAGTTTAAATGAATAAGATTTAACAGTTGTTCCTGCAATATTGTTAATGATGTATCACAATGAATAAGCTTAAGGGGTGCATGGACCTGCATTAGACAGCAAACATCTGAGAACACTGCTTTAAGGTTTATGTCCACTGCTTTATGATTACAAAATATTTAATTGGTATTGTGTGCTGGTTACGTCATTGCATCTTTTTCCAACCCTATTGCTGTCTAAAGTGTTATTATGGCATAAAGTGGTGCATTGAGTGTGAGGGGGCGGCTGTGGTTAGGGGCTTGACGGTCAATGTGGACAGGCAACAGCAAGAAATGAAACCTATGTCTGTTAAAGGGTCGTTATGAAAGGCTACTGTCGCCAGTTTTTCCCCCTTTGAACTTTCACTGGGGGCAATGAGAAGCAACTATGAGAGCGTAAAAGTGAAATGGAACAAGCTACCCACAGTCAACGAGCAGTGAAGGTCACCACAGGAAAAAGTATGCTTTTACACTCCCACAGAGGGACAGAGCTTGAATTTACTTTTATGATCAGTCACACTTGAAAAGGGAAAGGACATGGTCTGAAATGAGTTAGCAAGCTCCACTTCACATAAGCAGCTAATATAAAGGAAAAAGTTACGTCACTTGACTTTGAGCATGTGGCCTTAACCACAAACCAGTGTTCCCACTAATGAAGCTGTTGTGTTGTCTTTATGTGTGGAGATTTCGGCAGTTCATTTATGCTTCACATGTTTGCACAAACTATTCATATTTTGGGAATGGTCACTTTAAATATGTGTACATTTTGGGTTTAGCTGATACTACTGTATAACAAACTTTTCTTATTGTGGGGGAAACTTCTGTGTAGCAATGCAGGAGGAGTCACCGACTCAAAAGGAGACACGGGGAGAGCTGGAGCTTTGATGTCAAATACTGATGGGTTTATTTGGAGCTTCGGCCGGAAAATTCACAAAACAAGTCCAAGAGCCAGAGGTTCTGACTTCACGGTAGAGTTGCCACGTCAATTCTGAAGAACTCTACCCCAGACCCGTGTATTTAGCTAGTTCAGAGAGAATAATCAACATTGTGCAGAACAAGATAGAATCATAACACCTCTATCAGCTGACGCCAACAGGCAGGAGCAGGGAGACAACACACTGAGAGCACAGCAGCCAAGGTTACAGGTGCGTGTGCTCAGTCAGGACAGTATGAACTGATCAACTGGGTCAAAGTTATGGGCCTTGGGAAATATTTCCCCAACACTTCTGGAATACATAATGAGGGACAAGTTTTAATTTGATCTGAACTGTTTCAGAATCAGCCAAGATAACAATATATGTAGGATGAAAGTGTCTGGAAATAGACGCAATAAATATGCATCTTTCCACATTATGCGTTAAATATGGACGTAATTCATGAAGGCGTAATTACTTAAGATAAAAGTTGAAAAGGTTATCAGTCTAATGTGCAGGTGTAAGATTAGGATACGGAAAGATTACAAGAGTCTTGATCGGAAATGAAACCCTCATGTATGGAAATATTTGATGTTATTAATAACTTGATGCATCCTCTCACCAATTTGGAAAACCTCAACCCCAACCGAAAGACAATAAAGGGATTTCCCCCAAAGCGTGTGATGTTCAGGACCTCACCATTAATATCAAATAGACGGAAAGCTCTTTTTTTGATCAATTGCAAAAGAAAGAATATATAGGCACTGCAAATTAGAGCAAGACACTTGCATGCCAGAGTTCATGATACAGGATCTGATGTCATTTGGAGATACAAACACTTGCTCATGTATCATGTATATCTATATCAAGCGTTATTTTTGCTACCACCCACGACAGCAGATGAATAGACTGATAACACTTTACAAATTTGA